ATCCGAGGCGGTGGCCGCGTGCAGCTCCAGCGAGGCGCGCAGGCTCCAGATGTCGCGGTAGATGGTCTGGGCCTGCTCTGGGCCTGCGTCCCGCTCGCCGTCTGAGTCCTGCCGCTGCTGCTCAGGCCCCGTAACAACGCCGCCACCGCCGCCGCCATGCTCTGGGGGGTATTCGGGGCTCACTCCTCCCACGGCGCCTGCCTCCTCCTCCACCTCTAGCCTGCAAGCCAGGCCGCAGTGTCAGAAGGACGCAGGACCCCCGCATCCCCTCCTCAGCCACCTGTGCGGTGGGGGAGGGTAGGCACGGATGGGGACCCTCCGGGCTTGACCAGGCCCTGTGGAAGGTGTTTTTGAAAATGCTGCCTGTCCTCTTTTGCGGGGGATGCTTTTTGGGTAACCCTGAGTTCTCCTGCAGCCTGCTTTTCAACCAAGGCGTCCCATACAGCCTGTGACCCAAGTGCCCGGGGCCGCTGCAGGTGGCTGGCTTCTCGCCCGGAAGAGCCACTCTCTCCTCCCACCTTCTTCCTAACTTCTTAGTGTCGGAGGGGTGGCGGGGAGGGACAAACCAGGTGGAGTCCAGCTGGGCCACCACCTGGGGTGACCGGATGTGCCACTCAACACCTTTTAGGGTTGATAAGGAACCAGGAGGGTGATACGCAATCCGGGGGGCCAGGAGGTGCCCACGGGGAGGAACTCGGCCCCGCTCCCTGAGTCCCCACCCAAACGACTGCGCCCAGAGTCTCAGGACTGCTGCCCTCGGGCTAAGGGAGGGGTCCTGCCAGCCAACATGGTCACCAGTTTCTCAGGAGCATGGGCAAGCGGGAGAGTGTCTCTCAGGCCTTCAACGCCACCATGAAGCGGCCCTACCCGGGCAGGCGCAGACCCCCAGCAGCCCTGCCTGAGCAGGTGTCCGGTTCTGGGTACTTTGGGCCTATCGTCTGGGGCCCCACCCGCCCCTCGCCCCTTACCCAGTGTCCCCCTGCTCCCCTGCTCTGGTCCGCAGTGGGGAGGTGGCCCCGGCAAGGCAGCCTCCAGGAGGGGCGGTGGCACCTGCGGGACACAGCCGCCGGTCCGCAGGGCAGGGAGAGCGCTCCCTGGGCCACCTAGCAGGGGTGGGGTGGAGCAGGGGCCCCCAGGCCCACCTCTAGCACTTCTATCTACTGAAAAATACCTGCCGAGAGCGGGGGGCGGGCTGGCAGGGCCGGCCAGGAAGGGGCGGGGGGGCGGGAAGGCTGCGGGGGCGCCTGCGCTGGCGATGTACTGGATGAAGTCCCCGTGGGGGGCGGCCCCCTCCTGCTCCATGCTCTCGCTGGCAGCCCGCTGCCGCTGGAAGTGGTGGCGCTTGGGGGAGCCTGTGCGGGGGGAGGGGGGAGGCGCGTCAGCCCACCCGGCCCCAGCCGGGGCCAGGTGCGAATAGGCATGGGTTGTGCTGAGGCCATCGCAGGGCCCCGAGCAGCCCTGGCAGACAGGTGTGCCTGGAGCAGGAACTCGCACTGGACGGCCAATGGCCGGGGGCGTGGAGCACCGGCGAGCGAGGGACAGGCTGGGGGAGAGTGAAGAGAGCTGAAGTCCATGCTGCCAGCCCCAGCCTGGGCCCCTGGGCTGCAGCCAGGAGCCCCCCACCACCACAGGGCCTGGAAGAATTCAGCGAGAGGGCCTCTGCAGTGGGGAGGACAGCCACCCAGCAGACAGGTTCCGGTTGCTCCCGCGCCTGCATTTGACTGTAGGTGCCCTCAGAATAACAGACTGACTCTTGGGGACGAGGCGCCCCCTCTCCGCCAGCCCGGAGCACACTTGTGCCAGACTTAGTCCTCCGTTCCCGGTGCTGGCCTCGCCCTGGCCCTCCCTCTGACACGACTTGTCCCCTCTCCCTGCCTCTCCTGGCACCGAGAGCAGGCACGTGTGTGGCCTGGCCAGCCCGGCCACTGAGCTCCCTTGAGCCGGGCTGGTTGCAGCTCTCGGCCTCCACAGCCCCCCCTCCACCCCGGGCCTTCTGTCAGGGGTCTGCAGAGCTGAAGGGCTGCTGTCACGCATTCAGGGGTGGCCGAATGGGCCCCCACCTGTTGTGACTCGGGTCTGTTGCCATGCCAAGCACGGGGGCCTGCCCACTGCTGCCGGCGCACGGTCTGACCGCAAAGGCAACAGTGCCATCTTGGCTCTCGTAGGCGCAGCTCAGTGGCAGCCCGGGGTACCCCACCCCAGCTCTGACACTTTGAGGCAGATGCTGGGGCACCTCAGGAGCAGAGACCCAACCCCAGTTCCAAGTGTCGCATTCAATGGCTACCTAGGCAGGGCCCCTTCCCCTCACTCCCTGCTCCAGGAGCCGCAGCTCACCTCTTGTGTCCAGACTGGACGCTCGCTGGCTGGGCTCCAGCTTCCACTTCTTGACCTTGAAGTAGGGGCTGGACCCATCCAGGCTGGCATGGCGCCTCAAGCGGGTGAAGAATCGCAGGACCGGGCCCGCCCCGGACCCTGGGCCCACCTCCCCGGGCCCCGCCATGGCCCCCGGCCCCCCAGGCTTCGTGCTCCTGGCACCCACATCCAGCTGAGAGGGAAGAGGGACAGTCTCAGGCAGGAAGGCCCCCTCCCTCCGGACAGAGGGTGAGTGTCCAGGAACACTTGGGGGAGGGGGCTTGGGCGGGCTCCAGACCACACCCCGCCAGCTGCCCGAGGGCCCTGTGCGTGTGAGCACACACGTGTGCCTGATGGCTATGCATGTCCCGTGCCACCCTCCCCTTCTCCTTCCGTGTGCAGTAACCAGGCCAAGACAAGGAGGGACCATGGACAGCGGGAGGCCACAGGCCGACCTGTCCTGAAGCGGGACCAGATTGGGGGCGGGGGCAGGCAGGGTTGGGGATGCAAAGAGCCCTCACCGAGGTGCTTTCCCCAGAGTCACTGGATGTGGACGGGCTGATCTCGAAGTCAGCAGGGCCCGCGGCCGGGCTGTAGGGGTCACCTGGCAAGGCGGAGCTGGGGCCCACGGAGCGGCCAGTGAGGGCCTTCCCCGGGGGCTGCGGGACAGACCGGGGTGGGGGAGGAAGCAGTGACAGGTCAAAGAGCATGGGTGGATGAGGGGTTGTGCTGGGATCAGCCCCCCCCACCGCCCCGTGTGCCCCAGCCCGTCCCCTGCCCTGTCCTGAGATGAGGGTCCAGGCCCAGAGAGCAGGAAAGGCCACCTGCCAGGGATAGGATTGGGGGGGTCCTGCCCACCCGGCCCCTGTCAGCCTGCCAGCCTCTCCACACTCACCTGGAATATGGCAAGGCTGGCCTTGGGGGTGGCAGTAGGGTGAGGCATGGCAGTTACGCTGGCCTCGCCTGAGTCACACTCATGGATGGTGACAATCTTGAGGGGCGGCAGGTGTAGGTGGGTGAGGCGAGCGTTCTTCAGATGGTGGAAGTCACCCTCTGTCAGGGTGTACCTGTGCCGGCGCACCTGCCCATCACTGCATAGTCCGCCCCCATGCCGCATCCCCCAGCCCACACGCCACTGCCCTGTGCCCACCCTGCCCACCCTGTTGGGTCTCCGCGGGAGGGGTACATGCAGGCACTCAGCAAAAGCCAGCACGGCCCGGCGAGCCCAGTGGTGGTGGCCTCCCACCGTCCCCTTACCTGCGGCCCTTGTCCTGCGCCTTCCGGCTCTGCTCAAACAGGGCCGCCTCGTTGAAGGACACGCGACGACCCGTGGAGCTGGTGGACAGGAAGCGCTCGGTCTCGGCGTCCTGGCCCTCGGGGTCCTCCCCCCTCAATTCGGGGTCTGCGAGGAGAGCCAGGAGAGGGTGGGCCGTGCCTGGTGCCGTCAGTCTTGGGCGGGGCCGGCCCGGGAGGGAGCGAGGGGGGCCCCCGACTGACCGCCAGGGACCACGCGGGAGGTGGGCGGGCACTCGCTCATCCGCTCACACACTCACTCGCTCAGCACGCGCCTGTGAGCACCTACGCGTGGGCTTTAAGGAAACAGAGATGAGTCGGAATCGAGTTGCGCCCAGTCTGGTGGGGGAGACAGACAGACACAGCCGGTCAGGCAGCCCGAGGGGGACGGGCTTGAGGCCCAGGGGCGGG